ACACACAGAGGCCACAGGGGCAGCAGTTACAGAGGGCTCAAAGAGGGTCACATAGGGTAACAGAGGTCACAGAAGGCACACGGAGGGGTCACAGAAGGCACACAGAGGGGTCACAAAAGGCATACGGAGGGGTCACAGACGGCCACACAGAGCGGCCCTAGAGGAGCACACGGAGGGGTTACAGAGGGTCACACGGATTGGTAACAAAAAGAGTTACACGGAGCAGTCACAACGGTTTCACTCCGTTCACAGGGGTTACGCGGCGTCACAGGGGTCACAGGGGTCACAGGGGTTACCGTTCACAGGGGTTACTTCTGAAGTGGGCGCGACAAGAGAAGGTGAGTATGCACCAAACACATGCCAAGCTGCAGTGTCCATCCGTGGGTGCCGGCCAACACGCGTCGCACGCCTGCCTCTTCGCCACGACGCCGCCGCAGCCACACGTTACCTTCTGCTTATTGTGGAACATGAGGTAAAAGATGATGCAGAGCACGACGGCCGTGAGGAAGTAGGCGAAGAAGTTGGAGTCGCCGCCCTGCGCCTTCAGCGGGGCGTACGGACCCACGCCGGGCTGCTCGTCCTGCGCCGGCACTCCGGACGGCGCTGCCGGCGGCACGCGAGGCCGAGTCAGTCAGCAGCACAGCACCAGATACAGAGAACAGCAGGTCCCCACAGGCCCTTACGGAACCACGGGCTGCAGAGAAACAGCCGGCTCCACAGAACCACAGGGCAATAGAGAAACAGCCGGCCCCACAGAACCACAGGGCAATAGAGAAACATCCGGCCTCCACAGAACCACAGGGCAATAGAGAAACAGCCGGCCTCCACAGAACCACAGGGCAAAAGAGAAACAGCAGGCCTCCACAGAACCACAGGGCAATAGAGAAACAGCCGGCCTCCACAGAACCACAGGGCAATAGAGAAACAGCCGGCCTCCACAGAACCACAGGGCAATAGAGAAACAGCCGGCCTCCACAGAACCACAGGGCAATAGAGAAACAGCCGGCCTCCACAGAACCACAGGGCAATAGAGAAACAGCAGGCCCCAGACGACCACACGGCAACAGGCGCACGTGCCGAATCGGCCAGCAAACGGCAGCAAGTGCCAGTAGCGCGTCATCTATTAGGTCATAGTGCGAAGTAATCGCCATGAACTCCACAGACGGAAGCTGTGTGGAAATACATGCATTTCGTGGTCCATGTTTACCATACAATACATCAGAAAACATGCCAAGCGTGATCGTTAGAATGTCAATGAGGCTGCGACCGTCGGACATCCCCTGGCAATCGCCGGCGAGACGTCGCACAGGACAACCGCCACTTGTATTTCAGCTACAACACGAACATACGGCAGCACAGGTCATGCGGGCAACAACATGCAAAGCCTCCGCCACGAAGCCGCACCAAGCATTCGGAGCGGGGCTGACCAACGCCTGACTGAGCCGGCGTCGGTCAGTGGCCGAGTGCGGCCGGGCGGGGCGGGCAGGCGGGTGGTGAGGGTGGGCTAAGAGCGCCGAGGTCATCACGCCTGGCCCGGCGGCGGGGGCGGGGCCGGACCGCAGGTTCCGGGGGACGAGACCATAGCGCGCGGCGGGCGTCGGCGGGACGCGTCAGCCAGCCGGGCCAGCCGCGATGACCGGTCCACAGCGCACACCGGCCGACGCACGGGCGGAGCCGGCCGCGCGGCGGACCACGGACGCCTCGCTCGGCACCAACACACAGACACGGACACCAGCTCGCAGCCACGGCAGCCAGCGGCGGCCGGGGTTTACATCGCAGGAGCTTGGCGAGCCACGTGGTCTGTCAGCGGCCTCTGCCACACCAGCGGCCGTGCCACTCCCACCCACGCGGCATAGGACAGAGACGCTGACGCAGACGCGGACGCAGACGCGGACAGAGAGCGAGGCGAGACGCGTCACACGCATGCCGTACGGAGCGCAGCCAGCCCCCGGGGCGCGGCTTGTTAGTCAGCGGTGCAGGCGCGGCAGGCAGGCCGGAGACGGGGCGGAGCCGGCGCCGGAGCGGCGGTTACCCTTGTAGACGGCCGGCGGCTCGTCGTTGATGGAGAAGTCATCGTCGCGGGCGGGCGCCGGCCGGCTCCCCTCCAGGCTGTCCAGCTCGCCGTCCAGGGAGTCGGGGTCTGCTCGGAGCTGAGCCCGTCAGAGGGCGCCGCGAACACCACAGCACGACACCGGCGGAGGACGCCGGCGGAGGACGCCGGCGGAGGACACGGCAGGAGAACAACGGCAGGAGGACACGGCAGAAGGACACGACTGGAGGGCACGGCACGAGGAAACGGCAGGACACACCAGGAGGAAGCGTCAGGATGATACGGCAGGAGGACAAGGCAGGAGAAAACGATAGAACACAGCAGGAGGAAGCGTCAGGATGGCACGGCAGGAGGACACAGCAGGAGGAAATGATAGAACACGGCAGGAGGAAGCGTCAGGATGGCACGGCAGGAGGACACAGCAGGAGGAAACGATAGAACACGGCAGTAGGAAGCGTCAGGATGGCACGGCAGGAGGACACAGCAGGAGGAAATGATAGAACACGGCAGGAGGAAGCGTCAGGATGGCACGGCAGGAGGACACAGCAGGAGGAAACGATAGAACACGACAGGAGGAAGCGTCAGGATGGTACCGCAGGAAGACACGGCAGGAGACATGGCAGGAGGGAACGGCGGGAGAAAACAGCGGGCCACCACCAGCAGTGGACACAGGACGCGGACAGAGGGCGCGGCCAGGACATGTGTCGGGGACGCGGCAGGTGAGACACCGGACGTTATGGCCGGATGAGATGGCAGGCAGGCCGACAGACCCCGGGCGACGGGCTGGGGCGCCGGAGACGTTAGCGAGCCGTCGCCACCGACGGCGGACAACGGAGCAGGCCGAGGCCATTCAGAGCTGCACGCCAGGGCCACTCAGAACTGCACGCAGAGCCACTCAGAGCTGTAGGCCAGGGCCACTCAGAACTGCACGCAGAGCCACTCAGAGCTGCACGCAGAGCCACTCAGAACTGCACGCCAGGGCCACTTAGAGCAGCTCGGTGGTAACTCAGAGCACACACACACACACACGCACACGCACACGCACACGCACACGCACACGCACACGCACACGCACACGCACACGCACACACATCCTGCAGTGAACTTCAACCATATATGACATTCTAGAACCGTTGCGCTACTAAAACCTGCCAGCTGCGTGGGCCCTGATCGCACCAACCGACCGTACAACGCCCGGTCAACGGCAGAAATCGCGGCGAAAGTTAAACGTGCCGCAGCGATCGGTCCGTCCCGCCCTCTGGCGTCAGCTGACGACGAGCGCCGCCGCTGCCACCGGCCGTCAGGCCGTCCGTGAGGTCTGACATCCGTCAGGCCGTCAGGCCGTCCGAGTCCGTGACAAAGAGCGGACGACTGACGCACCCGACAGTCGAGGCTATGTGACGCTGCCTGCCTCCGTCCGGGCAGGGAGGAGGATGCATGGGAGGAGGAGGAGGAGGATGGCAGGAGGAGGATGATTGTTTTGGCGGGCCTGATATGGCGTCAGAATGCGCACAAATGCCAACACAAATGCCGCATGGGACTCTCTACCTTCCACTCCAGACCACGACAGTGCCGGAGTGGACCTGGCCGCGTCCGACCTCACGTGCACGGCGGACCGCCAGCGGGTGGTGACATCGGCACACCCTCCAGCTGGGAAACTGAGACCCGCCAGCCTCTGCCTGTGTCACTGCGCGTCCCTGCACGTGTCCCTGCCAGTGGCCCTGCCCATGTCTCGGCGTGCCGCTGTCCGTGAGCTGGTGTACCGCTCCCGTTATCGCAGTGTACCGCTGTCCGTGTCCGGAGCCGACGCCGGAGTCGGTGTCCGGTGCCCAAGTGTACCGCTGTCCGTGTCCCTGTGTCCCGCTGTCCGTGTTCCGCTGCCCCGCTGTCTGTGTCGCAGCGCACTCTGACCTGGGTGGTCGGCCGGCGGCGGGCCGCGGACGTCCTCAGGTCGGCGGAAGTGGTCCTCGCTGTCGCCGGAGGGTGGCGGCCGGTCGAAGGGTGGCTCGCCGGCCGGCGGCGGGCGGGCGCCGGCGCCGGCCGTCTGCTGCGGCCCGGCCGGAGCCGCCACCGCTGGAGGACGGAGGCCGGCTGTCACCGACACACCACACGCTCAACGCGGCACAGCGGTCACCCCGTCACAGCACGCGGTCAGCTAACCACAGCAGGACGACAGCGGACCGTCACAGCACGCGGTCAGCTAACCACAGCAGGACGACAGCAGCCCGTCACAGCACGCGGTCTGCCAACCACAGCAGGACGACAGCAGCCCGTCACAGCACGCGGTCAGCTAACCACAGCAGGACGACAACAGTCCGTAACAGCACGCGGTCAGCTAACCACAGCAGGACGACAACAGTCAGTCACAGCACGCGGTCAGCTGACCACAGCAGGGCGACAGCGGACCGTCACAGCACACGGTCAGCTAACCACAGCAGGACGACAGCGGACCGTTACAGCACGCGGTCAGCTGACCGCAGCAAGACGACAGCAGCCCGCCACAGACAGGTGGACGGGCTCAGCAGGCAGCGGTAGGCCCAGTTTGACCGTGACTGGCGCGCCAAATGTGCGTGATGGCCGTACTGCGGAACTACGGTCCCAGCCACGCGGCACGGCGGCAACTTCGAAATATGGTCCGCGCCTGGATATCAGGGGTCCAGATGTGCGGTGCAGGTAGGACCACCTGCGCACGCGTCGCCCTATGGTGACCGCACGCAGGGCCCAAGCTATTGCCCCCCGTCAGCGCCGCTCCGGGGTCAGGTGCAGAGCGGCACGGCGGACGCACCGGCGGCTGGCGGCGCGACCGAGGAGGAGGAGGGGGCCGGGGCCGGCGGCCGCACGTCACCAGCCGGCACGGCCGGCACCGGCGACGGAGACGCGACGGGCCGGGGCGCCGGCGCCGGCAGCGCGCCGGCGTCGGGCCTGGCGGCCGGGAGGGCGCCGGGGCCGCCGGCGGCTCCAGTGGCGGCGGAGGAGGCGCCGGCTCCGGCTGAAGCGGCCGGAGTGGTGGGCTTCGCGTTGGCTCCGGCTCCCGGTACGGCGCCGGGTACGGCTGCGCCTGCGGCTCCGGCGCCGCCTCCGTCAGCGACGGACACGGACGCGGCGTCCTGACCACCAACGACCGCTGCCGGCAAGGAGGGGCTGTCAGGCTGACACCGCCACCGGGGATGTCTCATGATAACAGCAGGTGGTGTTTACTGGCGCACACGACACCTGACGTCATTCTGCGTCACAGACTAATAATAATAGCAGGTGGTGTTTTTTATCACGCATGCGACACCTGACGTCATTCCGCGCCACAACCTGATAACAACACCAAACCCAGCCGTTGGCCAGAGCTGCAGAAGGCTCGTTAAGCGATCGAAGCCAACCGTCGCAATTGAGTCAAACTTTCTGCCCTGCTCCTGCATCACGCCGTTCATGGCCGAGACAGCGATCGAGACAGAGGGAGGGACAGCGAGAGAACAAGAGACACAGAGAGTGCGCCCGTGTCCGGCTGACGGGCGGCTGCCGGCCGGCCTTCCGGACATAGGTGCTTTGGCGGGAGGCGGCGGGCCGGTTGGCGCCCGAGCCGGGACGCTGTGGGCTGTGGGCTGTGGGCTGTGGGCTGTGGGCTAAGGGCTGTGCAGGCCAGTCATGCAAACCATGCAGACTGGATACGCGCAGGGGCGTCGCCAGGATGTGAGCCCGTGGCAGGCAATAGCCTGGGGAGGGGCGGACCGGCGTTCCGGGGGTGACGCCACTGTCTGGTCTAGTGATCACGCTGTTGCGACCGGCGTGCGCGGCCGAAGCAGGTGAGGTGCGCGTCTCCGGGGGACACGCAGCCCCAGCCGGCCGCCGGCCTCGCGTCCCTCGAGCCGGCCGGGGAGTGGCTCGAGGGACCCGCCGTATGGTCACCGCCGGCGCGCCGTGTCGCGTCACCTGCCGACACCGAGCAGCGGCCAGCCAGGCCACCACCGGCGGACAGCTCGCCGGCGGTCACTTCAGGGTGGACCAGCTTCAGCCGTAGGACACCCTACAGCTGTACAGCCAGATCAGACCCGCTGGGGGACACCGTACAGCCGGATCAGACCCGCTGGGGGACACCGTACAGCCAGATCAGACCCACCGGAGGACACCGTACAGCCGGATCAGACCCACCGGAGGACACCGTACAGCCGGATCAGACCCGCCGGGGGACACCGTACAGCCGGATCAAACCCGCTGGGGAGGACACCGTACAGCCGGATCAGAACCGGGCCTTTCGCCGGCCGCCACGGGCCTCTCGGTTGTGTTCGGGAGCCAGCGGTGGCTTCTTCCAGCCTCCGTGTGTCACCCAGGAAAGTTTCGAGGCCAGATGCATCAGCTGTCAGTCTCTCCATATCACCCCAGCTGCATCAGCTGTCAGTCTCTCCATATCACCTCAGCTGCATCAGCTGTCAGTCTCTCCGTATCACCTGGTTCTGTGGAGGAGTTTCGAGGCCAGCTGCATCAGCTGTCAGTCTCTCCGTATCACCTGATTCACCAGGGAAGGTTCGAGGCCAGCTGCATCAGCTGTCAGTCTCTCCGTATCACCTGGTTCTGTGGAGGAGGCGGTGGAGGAGGCGTTGGAGGAGACGGCGGCGGTGCTCTCGGCGCTCGTCACCCAGCCAGCTGTCGTCCTTCCGGCCCGCTGCCCGTCCCCAGCAGGCCGCTCAGCGCCCTGCGCCAGCGCCACCCGCGCGGCCTCAGGCTGCGCGGGGGCGGCTGCGCTCCCGCGGCGAGCTCCATCGACCACCCGCGGGGCGCCACCGGCGAGAGAGGCGCCCGCGGGGGCGGCTGCGCTCCCGTGGCGAGCTCCATCGACCACCCGCGGGGCGCCACCGGCGAGAGAGGCGCCCGCGGGGGCGGCCGGGCTCCCGTGACGAGCTCCATCGACCACCCGCGGGGCGCCACCGGTGAGAGAGGCGCCCGCGGGGGCGGCTGCGCTCCCGTGGAGAGCTCCGGCCACCGGCCGAGGCGCGGTGCCACCGGCGAGAGAGGCGCCCGCGGGGGCGGTGGCCTCTGGAAGCGGGGGCGCGGCTGACGACGGGCGGGCTGCAGGCGGAAGGCAGGGCGCGTCAGCGGGGCGTCGGTGTCGCACCGCCGTGACGTCGCATGCCAATACAACGGAGCTTGTTAAGATGTTGCTCATGCATACAGTGAGGTGGCTCAACTGACGTCTGCTACTGGAGGCTACAGTTAGGCTTAGTGTTGCTCATGCAAAGTATCTACCTTAATAACAGGGAGCACCTGGTCAGCAAGCATCATTAGCGAGCAGCCAATGGCGAGCCTCGCTGCCAGAAGCGGGCCAACGGCGGGCCTCTCTGCCGGAAGCTGACCAATGGCGAGCCTCATAGCCAGAAGCAGGCCAACGGCCAGCTGCCCCAGCAGATGCGGACCAATCAATGCTGAAGCTGCGCGAGCTACTCATCCCGCACTAGTGACACTTAACCAAGAGCCAGGCATGGGCAATGCTTACCAGATGGGAGGGCCTGAAGGACAGCGTTGTGGTCCTTGGGAGCCTCAGCAGCCAGCTCTGGCTTGATTCCTTCTGCCAGAATAACAGCATCAGATGCAGAAAGTGTTTGTCATATTCCATCAGTGGCAGTATGACTTCCAGCACAAATGGAATGACTGTTGCTGCCATTACCAGAACACTTTACCAGAACACACATTACCAGCACATGAACACAAAATAATATGGTGTGCTCATATGTTCATATCATAAACATGGTGTGCCCATTTCATTCCACGGATTGCAACATCCTGCCATATCCTATAAATTAACAACAAATAAGTATTAAATGATGCCAATGCAATATTAGCAATTGAATAACATGGTATAACCCAGATGTCAGACTTTTTCCCTCCTCTCACATCCCTCCATGGCAGCTAAAGGCACTGGCCTGAGAAACTTATCCTCAGTCATCCACAATTTGCTCTGCCCTGTGCAGATGCAAAGCACTAGTTGACACCACACAACAGCAGATGCTGTTACCAATGAGCTTGTGCTACCCACCAGCTGGAGCTATCCCGGGTGCAGGCTGTGGGTCGGCACCACCGGCCTTGCTTTCTGCAGAGATGGCCAGATCACCGGCTGCTGCTGGGTGCAAGGCTATCCTGGCTGGTGCTCCCTGCAGTCTGCTGGGAGGACTGTCCCCACCTGATAATGGATATCAACAGCAGATTTAGACTCAAGACTAGGCAATTCTCATAAAACAAATTTGTCAATGCATGGATATAAATGACTAGATCAAATGAGCCACCAGCTACATCCTAAATGTCAATTGTTATTTGTAATATTGGTTAACAAACAAGAATTCCATTACCAAAGTTTTAGACAGTATTGTACTTAAACACACAAATATCTTTTTTGACACCCCAGTTAATGATGATGAATGGGATTTTAGGGCACCAGGGCTGCAGTGGTCATTTTGAAGTTTTATTTTTTGAATGTAGAAGGCTTAACTATATGAGCAAGACCTCAAAATGGTGCATTAATTTTTCAGCCTAAAGCACAGCCCAAAAGCTTAGTGACCAGGCATAAAATGCACAAAAGTATAATACAAATTCACGTGTATATACCTGGCATGTGCTTACCAGTGGTATGTGGTGCTTTGGCAAGCATGGCTTCCAGTACCATTCTTCCATAATATAATGACTGGCACTCTTCATTTGCCTGCACATCACCATCTGGGTGTGGAGCAGACATTGGCAAACATGTCTGTGCACACTTCTCCCCATACTCCATCCTAGTCAAGCTTCCAAATGATTTGTCTTGACTTCAACCACCTTGACAGAAGTGCACACACTTTCTCCACAGGCACAGAGTCATTCATGTTTATTGTTTGTGGAAAATCCACTGTCTGAGAGGTATGGCATATAATCCTTAAGGTGCTAAGACTGAGTGCACAAAATGAGCCAAGAGGGTCAGGAACTGTGGCTGACTCATCCTTTGGGTAAGGCCTGCTGCACTTTGGGCTTATCTGTGGTCCTTCTGGGGACATGGTGACCCCTACTGATTTCAGCATTAATTCCCAGTTACTCTTTGGAGTCTTGCATACTTCTTTGGAGAGAAAATCAGCCAAATCATCTGATATCAGCTTCGGAGATGGCGTTTTTGAACTTCTTGCCTCAGCGACTGCCATTAGGATGATGCCAGTCAGCACATTTAACACTGCTTGAAGACCAGCCTTCATTCTTCTGGGAGTTAAATGCCCCTTCTTTTTCACTCGCTGTGGTGGATGCCCCAACACCACAGGACGGCGTGCAGGCGAATATCGGACCACCAAGTAGCAATAATCACTTGTCAGTCGTGAAAAACACCTACCACCAAGTTCAGTTTGGATGCAGGGAGGTACAAACCACAACCGACTTTTAACCTGGCAGCTGGTTGATGTCCTGCCTAGTATGCTATTTTTCCAAATTAACTGCGGATTTGGCCAAGCAGCCCCCACGGCCCAATTAGTTCCCCGCAGACCACGACCGCCCTTACCGCAGACAACACTGTCTCAATGGGCACCACCTCGACCCCACGTCGCAAGCGAGCCGCGTTGAGCTATGCGCTAAATGAGTACGTCATAAGGCGAAGGGACTAAACAGCGAACAAAGCATGTTGATAACCTCATGCTATTAGTATGTGCGTTTGATTGTCACCAAACCTTCACCATTCGACGCCGCTTGGTAGAAAACCTTTTCTAAGCGAGAGATAGCGATCTTGGGTAAGCTCAAAAGGTACCTAAAATGAGAAAACAAACCAGCATTTTGCAGAAAACCCCCATCCTCCGAGTCTTTTTGAAAGATGACCATAAAACAGTAACAGTCAATGCGGACTCTTGGCCGGTTAGATACCTTTCGCTCTGGTGGGGGCAATTTGACCCCCTCAGATCTCAGAAAACCAAATTCACAGGGTTTGTTAGCCTGTGCGCAAACTCACTCAGCTCATATTTTGAGGCTCCTAGGTCATGACCTTTTCATACAAGGTTCCTAGGTGACCAAAATCATACAGGACTTCCTTGAGTTTTGCACCTGAATAAGCGACGAAGATTCGCTAAGCGGTATGTTCCAAAAAACGGAATGTTGACCTGAGTCATTTTAGGTCAATGACTTATATTCACCTTTAAAAATTCCATGGAAGATGCATAATGTGATTTCTGTTGCCAATAAATTCGAACTGAGCACAAGAAACTACTCATACAGCGAGCCCAAAATAAATAAGGCCGGCTGGTTTTGACCTTGGCCTAACATTCGTACCTGACCCTAGGTCAGTGGAATTTGATCATTCAGTTGTTGTGCTGCCTACGAAAGTATCTCATAGATGTATGACTTTGCCTGACACTTCGTTGTTGCATCAGATTGAACGATTCCCTAGAAATTGACTCCGCTGATTCCATGGGACGGCACTGACCTGTCGTAGGTCAACGACTTTATAAGGTACATCTAAATTTTTGAGAATCTTTTTATTTTTGTAATAACAGTTACACATGCTGTAGTGAATCTCAGGGCCAATTAGCCTAATAATAGTACCGGTGGCACTGTGTCACCATTAAAACATGATACACTTTCAACTATCTTCGAGCTCAAATTACGTCGTCAATGCTTCGTATCAGTACTACGCTTCTTTCCTGCAGTTGTCCTGGTCGTCGTTGTCGTGACAACTGCCGTGGCATCTCTACCAGTGTGAATGAAACGACGTCTGTGATTGGTCCACCGGGCGGTAATGGCTGTTGCTAACAAGCGCATTAATGGTTGAAGTTTGAACCAGTGCGTCACTGTCACTATCACGTCACTATTCCCAAATGTCAAACGCGTCTCGAAAAGAGCCACTATGGTAAACGCCACAGAGAAGAAGTCAAAGCCATATAGAGTAACTTTTTTCAGTTCGCAGGATAATAACTTCATGTCTGCGTATCTTTGGTGTGTCGCAAACATCACAGAGCACACACCTTGGAAAAGGTAAGGCAAATGAATTGAATTAATTTCACAATTGTGAGCAGTGAATCCAATGAAACTTCTTCCGCAGGAGCAGGTACTTCAAATACAACTTCTGGGCTAGTCAGGAGTTCGAGAAAACTGGTTTTACGGATCAAATCGTACGCGTCTAATCCAACAATAAGTGAAAGAACGAAAGGGGCGTACTCCCCTTAGATATCAGGCCGATACCGCTGCCATGTTGACCTCGTTTGTATGTGGCCGCGCCTGAGACGCACGATTAAAAGTAACTTAATACATGCTTTAGCTTTGCAATTGCCGCTGCGCCGGCACTCCGTCGCTGAATGTGTCACTGTCTGCACGTCAACTAAATAAAATGGATGCCTTAATCAATTAAGTACGTTGCGCTCACAGCTCATGGCGTTATAGCAGTGCTATCGCTGCACCCAGCAAGAATCTCCGTCCGTCACTTCATTCAAAGGGTGATTTAAATAAAAAAAGGCCTGTCCGACGATGAGCGATGTACTTTGCTGTCCTAAAGAGCTGCCACAATGGCATCATGTTCAAGGTGTTGTATTCGTCGCGCACCAATGAATGGGCTTCACATTCTACTCCGTAACTTTGCAAATCGCCGGCGCTGCCGCACCGCCAGCATTGAGGTCATCAAAAATGAGAGGGGTTTAATTTTTGATAAAACAATACATGAACAGATATGCATTCTTTCTAACCTGGGTGTTCGTCTGGGTGCCGGTAATTCTTGGGTGATGTGGGGTTCCCCGTCCTTTGAGTCTGCGTTTGACCTTGAGGGGTGACCTTGAGAGTTCAGGAGTTTTTAGCGGACGATGGCTCTTTCTGTAGTGAATATTCTGATGTTTGCAAGCTTTCAAATCTGCTGGTATTTTGTCGGTGATATGGAGCTCCCCGTCTTTTGAGCCCGCGTTTGACATTGAAGGTTGACCTTGATAGGTCAATACCCGGTAGTTTTGGGGCGATATGGAATTCCCCATCCTTTGAGCCCGCGTTTGAACTTGAAGGGTGATCTCGAGAGGTCAGAACTTTTTGACCGGCGCTAGCTCTTGCGGTTGTTGATATTTTGATACTCACAGTTCTCAAATCGGCCGGTATTTTTTGGGTGATACCGTGTTCCCCGTCCTTCGAGTCTGCGTTTGACCTTGAAGGATGACCTTGAGAGGTCATAGCTTTATGATGTATGCTAGTCCCTTGTGTGTTGAATATTCTGACATTTGCAAGTTGAAAATCGGCCGGTAATTTTTGGATTATATCGAGTTCCCCGTCCTTTGGATTAGCATTTGACCTTGAAGGTTGAACTTGAGAGGTCAAGATTGTTTGACGGGCCGTTGATTTTTCCGTGTTGAATATTTTGGTGCTTGTAAGCTGAAAATCGGCCGGTAATTTTTGGGTGATATTAAGTTTCTCGTCCTTTAAGCCCGCGTTCGATCTTGAAGGGTGACCTTGAAAGGTCATGAGTTTCTGACGGTCGCTAGTTCTTTGTGTGCTGAATATTATGACATTTGCAGGTTGAAAATCAGCCGGTAATTTTTGGATGATATTGAGTTCCCCTCCTTTGAACCCGTGTTTCACCTTGAAGGGCGACCTATAGATGTCAGGACTTTTTGACGGATTTCAGCTCTTAGGCTTTTGAGTATTTTGATGCTTATAGTTTTCAGATTGGCCGGCAATTTTTGCGTTATATCGAGTTCCCCATCCTTTGACCCATCTTTTGACCTTGAAGTTCACATGATATTGCAAAATGAGGGCCATTTTTGATGTTCTCATCCCACAACTGACGTTGAGACCTTTTTGAGAGAACTCGGAACTCGTCACTGAATAAATCGCTGAGTAAACCGCTAACTTCACGGACATCTAGCCTGGGCCTTCGCCCATCCCAGATCGTTCATTTGCGGTCAAGGGCTTGGAGCACGACAGTTCACCTTCGTGTTATCCTCGAATATTTTGACCGCGCCTCGCACTTTTGATAGATCGCTAACAAAAATAATGCCAATCCAGACAGGTTTTGAGCCATGGACCCGCACTCTACGCTGCTGGTTGGAGGTAGAGTTTAACTTTTTACAACACATTAAAAGAGTTGCGGGACAATAAAATCGATGCTGCAGTCAATTCATTGCCAAAGATTCAAGCGCCACGCTTTGAAAGGTCTCCCAGCACTTGCAAACAGGTGAAGCATATGGACGAGTTGACAAGGCAAAGAAAGACAAGCTCTTTTCACACCAGCGGCATGGGACGGGGGTATCATTTGGCACCAAATCTGAAACGCACGAAAACCAGGATGAACGGGAATGACACCAATGGCATGCCGTCAGTTCTGCAAAAATAGACTGTCAATGTCACTCCGAAAGCGATGCAAAAGTTGCGTTCGATGTTACCAACAATGAGCACCCCCGTTGCAGCGCTGCATTACGAGATGTTATCCATGAGCGGTATGCGGGCAACACCAGGTCATGTGCCGGCCCTCACATGGCCGGGGCTGCCCCTGGGGTGACAGTGGATGGTGCCGAGGCGCTTGTCGGGCCTGTATCAGTCATGTGTCGCGGGTCGGGGACTGTCCCTGTGGTGGCATTACATCCGGCTCTTGTGAGCGTCAGCCCCTCGCAGCGGCGGCAGAAGTCAAGCAATAAGGGCGGGGTTTGCGTCGCACAGCGCATTCCGTGCGCTGTGGCGTGCTATTTCAATTTCGAAAGCGTTCGTTGAGCTCCCTCATTTACTTTTCGTGATTACTTTGTGCACTTATTTTCCGGTGAGGTTATTTTCAGTTACATATCACGACGCAGGCGCGTGTCAGAGCCAATTAATCAGACGTCCTAGACCCCGAAGACGACATCTGCTCCCAAGCGCTTACACTGACCGTGAGGCAGCTCTGTCCGGTTCTGCGGCGAGCAATATCCGGTCCATCCATGGTCCATTGGCGACGGGATTGACTCCAAAAAGGACTAAAAAAGCTTTAATAACGTATTTTAGTTGATGCGTTGCTTTTTACTCTTAAGGTCTTATAATTACATACGTCGAACTTGTTCTTCTTTGTCCATTGTCTTGTGTGGCTGTGATCTAGTATGGGAAAGTGATTAGGCTATTTCCTTTATTTGTGATAATGTTGTGAATGCGATTGATCTCTCCTGGTTGTGTTTGGTAATGCTCCTAACCCTGCACTTTCCTCATGGGACTGCTCAACACATATCGTTGAGATGGGCTACTTTGACCCTCCCCCCCCCCCCCCCCCACAGTTTATTGTGAAGAACCAGGCCCAAAGTAAAATCGGTTTCTCGGTTAAAAAGAGTTAAAATTAATGGTTTCTCGGTTAAAAACTGGAAAAAAGAAAAAGTACCCAATTTTAAGCATAGTTAAGAAGAACAATCATATACCGGGTAGACATCTTCTACCATTGGCTGCTGAGCTGTCATTTTTCAGTCACCATTGAGACGACCCAGCAACCACAACGGCAACCTGAAAGGAGACAAACGCAGCCAACTTTAAATGGCTCGAACAGTCACAGGATCGGGGAGGGTGACGCCTCGTTCGTGTGACGCGACCGCATGGCACCTCTCTATTGACATCATACCGCGCTGCAAACCATTTG